CTCATGGGAATCTGCCTTACGAATGAGCGGTAGAGTTTAACCATTGTGACGATTTCAAGTGTAATAATGCTTACCTATGAAAGAAAGATTGTTTCATTATTCATCATATCATTTCGTTTCATTACAAGAGAAGCTATCGACTAATTTTTTTCTCAGAATATTTACACCTTTCTCCATACAGTTTTAATGTTATTTATTTATCCCTTTTGAAACACGTGATGTTTTTAAAAAATTACAGTACTGCCGACAAAACGTCAAATGTTTTAAACCACTTAGAAATCAATACTAGGTGTCTACTTTCCTTCTAAGTCCGACAGCAACAGACGACAGACGGAGAATGAGAGTACAGGACCTGTTTAAACAAGAATCTCACATTTTTTTTAACTTAATTTTATTTCCCGAAATATTAAAGTTTTTATGCCGAAAATTCCTTTTTCGTTTCACGGTATCGGTTTCAATAGTAAGTACGATTTAACTAACAAGTAACAATCGTAGGATTATATTCCTAAATATTTTTTTTTTCTTCATTCTAGCTAAACATTGTCATAATACTAAGATTGTTTTAAGAGAATATTTGACATTAGGCGTGGTGGAATGAAAGCTTGTACTGAGTAGCTTGTCGATAATAATACTAAACTACTGTACATAGTTATTTTTACTTGACATTGGCAAAATCATTGATTATTTCGATGGGGCCATAACATTTAAAAGAAGAAGAAGAGTAGCTTGTCGCTAAACTCCATACAAGTCTGTAAAAAATATTAATACTACGATGTTTTGAGTAAATTCATTATGTCGTACTGTTAATACAAAAGTGTATTAAGTCTAAAAGTGTACTTTTCTCAGAATTGATGAAAAACGAATTATTAGTAAAATGTATGTATAAAATAAAGTTTAATACAGACATCTAAACTATTTCATACTTTCCAAGTATATTTAAGAATAATAGGGAAAAAACATTTTCTCTGATTTTGAATTAAGTAGATGTCTTTTGTTTCTTACAATATTCCAATGACAGTTTTGTTGTCATGTAGAGAATTAAATGTTACGTTCAATAATGGTGTAATCTTGAATATCACTTATTTTGAGTTACAACACTATTGTAATAACAGTGCGATGTGATTGTTTCAAGCCTCAATCTTAAGTTTCTTATTGCATTTATATGATTCACCATTCAGAAAGAAATGTATTGAGCTATACATAATTTAGTATTAAAGTCATAATTTGCATAATTTATGAATATTATGAATATGAAAACGATAAGTTTTAACTGTATTAATTATTTATTTTTGTAAAATTTTTACTCAGCTGAGAAAGCGGTTAGCCTCGGTCTAGCAAACTGTCGCTGGTTCGAATTCAGCCGGATCATCAGATATCAATAATAATATTACCAAAATAGTTTCTATTTCCACTAAATCATTACATTTGACATCATGTCGACAGTACACTTTCGTAATACTAATAATAATTTATTATATAACAATTAAAAACGTTTCTACAAATCTGTACAGAAAGACAAACCATCATTGTTAAACATCACCAGAAGACAGGTGTGGTAAGTGGACAGGTTAATTCTATGGCGTGACACATACAAATACGTATTTTGTAATGTACGAGGGGCAGTCAAAAAGAACTTATTAAAGTCTATGCACGGTATCATAGAGGTAACCCTACCCATTGCTCATTTGACCTCCATCTCACCTGATGAAAAGTGACGATGAGGTCGACGATGGAACATATTACAAAGGCCAAGTTATAACGTTCAGGGAACAAGCCTGCAGGCAGGGAATTTCACTCCATAACCGTTCGGCATATAAACGTGGAAGCGTAACGATTCGTGCGAATCTTTGGAATATCCACAACATAGGGGTGGAACTCAAAAAAATAAACGTACTGGTAATATTCTAGGGTTTGTCATTTTCCGTTTATCGTAATAGATTTTTTTGTTATAAGAAGCGAAAGTAACCTTATAACGCTTCTTTTTTGGAGAACTAAGTAAACTTCTCCAATTCGTCGTCGTTCAGCTATTAACCGCTAGATGGCAGCACGTTGATTGAAATTTCAATATGAAATCTAAACGTCATAACTTGCAATAATAAGTATTGAGCTTTCAAACACATGCCAACAGGGTAAAGTTTAAATTGTAATAACAGTCCAGAATTTGTTATTTCTTTTTAAATTTGAAACTACGACCAATCAATATCAAGATTTTATAGTGTTTCAAATTATCAATGTGTGGAATTTGGGACAGCGGTTCTGGTAATCGAGACTTAGGCACTTCCATTGTTTTCTTTTCTTCCATGCATTTTCAGATTGACTGATTAGATCAATGGATATCAAGCTAATGCAAAAAGCCGTCATTGAGTTTCAGGCAAAAGAAGGTCGTGCAAAGGAAATCTATAATCGCTTTAAGACTGTCTATGGGAATGAGAGTCTTAAAAAAATATAAAAAAGTGCCTAACCCTTTATAGAGCTTATTATTAGGACCTTTGACCTAAATTTTAGTTTAAATTGACCCTGCCTACAATCTTCAGATCTGGTGATTGTAACAATGAGGTACGATCGTAATGAATAAACATCGGGAAAATTCGGAAATGACGAATATCTCCGAACGCGTAAGTAAAGTATAAATTATTGTTAACTTGCAATTTCTCCCAGGCGACCTTTGGATAGAAATTTGGGATATGCAATCGACAAGACAAGAAGATTAATTTAATAATAATTAATTTTTCGCTGGCATGTGTATTCCTGGGGGTCGATATAGATACTTTGAGAACCATCTGTTTTAGAGGTTAAAAGTGGAAACCTATTTTATGATCTCTGGGAATCTGGGGCAAATATTCGTGGTTTCAGAGTTTCCCGGAAGTTTATTCCCTACATCTGGAGTCTTAAGATCTTGCTCGCTGCTGATATCAATTCTCAAACAAACCAATCATCGAGACGATCAGTGCTTCCCTTTCTTTTATTTAACTGCTGATCCGACAGCACTATAAATGCAATTATGCTGTTGCTGTGCTCTTGGAACGCATTACTTCACTGAGAGTTAAGTTAAATGATCTCTAGTTCTATAACGTTAAAACTGAGCCTGCCAATTGTCTACCTAACGTTTCTGAACTAGAAATTGGACTTTACATCAATTATACAGTGTTCAAAGTAGTTTGAAAGGATTACAGTTTATATAATCAAGCAATATTAGTAGCATAAATTGTAATTTTTGAATAAATTCATGTTAAAACTTTTCTATAAAAGCCAAATTATTACTACCGTTGACATGTTAGTATACAGATGTAGTCAGACCAACTGCATACAAACTGCAGTTCCAACAGCACTATAGTTGCAATTTTGCAATTGCAATGCTTTTGTATCAAGTGTGACTGAGAACTAAACCAATTGAGGTCTTAATAGTAGTAGAGCTCCTTGTGACAGAATTCGTCCAAGGAAGTACTGTCACCTTACCTATTTCTGCCGCCAAGCAGTAATGAATGGCAAGGGTGCTGGTGAGAGCCCCTTAAAACTTTGCTATTTAAAGCTCTAGAGTGGCTCTGCAACTGTCATGGACAGGCGTGTTGCTTACCATCAGGCGCACGACTTATTCGTCCCGTCACTGTTAAAATGGAGTCTCTCAATTGTCTACCGGGCTTTTTTAAACTCAATCTTCTGTCCCTTTCTATTAGTTGTAGAAAGAAAGAGATGCACTTAAAATTTAGCTTTAGAGTATAGGAATTGACACCAACACAAGCAATCACAGCTGGGACAATGGAGACATATAATTATTGCCTACCTCATTACATTGTTTTAAGGGTGCAACAGTTGTCCAATGCTTCACAAACGTTCAACGTTCAACTTTATTCGTTTGACGATTTTAAGACACACCGTGTTAGGGAGATTTTAAAAATTCGCTTTCTTTTCTAAATGTCCGTTATATTCTTAGACAAGACCCGTGGCCCGCAGTAGGACGTGTGAATGTACGATTTGACCTCGAATTATATTTATTTAACAGGCATTCCCAACTAGTGAACCGGAGTGCTGGCTTCAGAATAATTAATAGGCCATGCATAATAAGGAACATACTTAATAATATATCATAATTATTTACAACCTATGACGGAATTTAGAATTGTTAACGCCGTAGGGATCAGTGAGAAAAATCATAATTTGTTTAATTGATTTTAGGGCAAGTTTTTTAATCACTTCGGTACAATTGGTTTACTTTCCCGTTTGGTCAGCTTGTCCACATGATCGTCGATTACCACTTGTCCAAATGGTCGTGGCTTGTGGAAATAGGAAATAGACGAATCGGGAAAGTAGACCCTTTGGACCGATCGGGAAAGTAGACGAATAGTGAAAGGGAACCAACGGGAAAGTAGATTTTAATAAGTATTGCCATTGCATTAAAAAGAAATTAATTGTTCTCGCGGTAGCTGCGCGGTGCGGAAGGAATAACCGCTATGATAATTTCATCAAGATTTTTCTGACGACATTCAACAGAATTATAGACAAACTGTTAAAATAAGAATAAAGAATACAATAACGCAATTAGTAATAATTAGGACGTGGTAACAATCACAATTCAGACGTTTTTGTCAAAATTTTGCCTTGACAATCTATCGATAAAACTGTCGACAACGACTATATGACTATTTAAAATTTCACGAAAATTGGCAACCCTTCACTTCACTTTTTATTTTTATGGCTCCATCATTATGAGAAATGATGATTTTGCCAATGTCACGGTTGAAAGAAAAAAAACGAAACAAAAAAAAAAATTCGCTAAGCTCTAATAGGACATTAACCGGTGTTGGTAAGTTGGACCACGGGAGTACTCAGTTGAGAATGTAAAACAAAACAACATTTATAAATATATGTTATTTAAGTGGATAAATTTACATAGAGTAACAATATGGGGAGAGAACACTAAAGTTAAGAGGTTGTTTTATGTTAATGGGGCGGGAGAATTTTGGAGAAAGTAAGTTATAAAGTGGAACAGCAATATTAGGACAATTGAAAAAAATGTGTTCCAAGGTACCGTCTTCTAGGCAACCTCTTCATTGGCAACCCTGCAAATGTCATTTTAATCCATCTTCAAAAAAAGGCAGAATATACGTTACTCCAAATTTAGGTTATGTAACTGCTTAAATTCCAACCACTGATAATTACTGTATTCTGGCAAATAAACGTATTCTATTCTATAGCTCTGTTGGTAGAGCAGTCGTCAACCTAGTTTGGCACGTATACAGGTTCGAGTCCAGGCAGATTGAAGGAATTTTTCTTTGTGTTCGATATTAATATTAATAAATTATAACGGAATAAAATTTTTTAAATCTCCCCAAAATATTCACATCGATAATTCCAAGAATAAAATGTCACTCCAATCACAGTTAGCACACAGTCTCGCACTGCACATAGTGTTACTTCGTAACTATTATCCTGTAACTGTTACTTGCAACTTTCGGAGTAACAGCTCTAAAAGATTACTTGTTTACTGTTACATGCAACTATTATATTTGTAACTGTTACTAAGTTAACTATAACCTATTCCCCTTTTAATCGCTTGCTGAATTCCTCTTGTTGTAGTTCTCTCCATTCTTTTTTAGCCTTCATTCTTTTTAGCTGGCCATCCCTGGAACAAAATTACAAAAGCTTTTAACATATTGTAATATTATCGAGTTCTTAGGTGTTCGCGATTGTTACACATAGGAAATGAAACTATTTTTCCGGATTTAAATCGCGTATATTTGTTTTTTCAAACAAACCGACGTTGGTCCCATGGTCACGGTTGACTGACACGGTTAATGAATTTTTATTAAGTTAAATTTTTATTAACTCAATAAAAATTCATTGAATAAAATAATTTGTAAAACTTAATGTAGCGTAAATTGGAATGTTTTCTTTGTAAAATTAAAAATAAGGTATTTAATTAATAACTATTGTAACTATAGTGAAAAAATAGGGTAGTCTGCATTAATATTAGACATAACTGGTTCATGACTGTACCACCTCAGTCAACCGTGACCATGGGACCTGTAAAGGGCCCGAAACGTCGGTTTGTTTGAAAAAACAAATATACGCGATTTAAATCCGGAAAAATAGTTTCATTTCCTATATTGTAATATTTTTAAATGATGCCAAGTCGTACGCCTGGTGGTAAGCGATACGCCTGTCCATAACAGTTGCATTGCCACTCAGAGTTTTAAATCGCAAAGATCTGAGGGGCAATGCCACTGCGCCTGTCACCCTGAGACATAAGTTGACAAGTCCCACTTGCTTGTAATTTCACCAGCACCCTTACCCTTCAAAATCGAACATAGTAATGGTCACATTATTGCTTTAAACTTCCTCCATCTATCTTAGTGGTATTTAAAACAAAACATATCCCTTTAACACGGAATTATGTTTACGTAAAAAACTGACCACTTTTACAAAAAAAAAAATTAAATATAAATATAACTGTCGATAATCTCAGTGCAGAGTACTCTAAAAAACCGGCCTCGAAAGTGCGTGGAATTACATCTATTTTATTGGAATTGGTTACCGGAAAGTGCGCGAAACCGGAGTTATCCCCTAGTTAACCACACTTACAGGGGAATATTTTCTTCAATTTTAAATGGGACCACTACAGACGTACCCATTTTCCAACAAAAAAAAAAAAAGAATCATAAAAATCGGTTCATAATTGATATATAATTGATATCGCGTAACATACATACAAAAAAAACAGTGAGAACCACCTCCTTTTTTTTTGAAGTCGGTTAAAAAAATACTATGTTATATACGTCGTTAGAATCTGCATGAAACGTATTAGTTTTTCTGCCATAGGGGCAACTTTCTGTAGTACATTTTAGTTTGGTGAGATTCTCTTAAAAACAAAGCGTTGTGTTTTGTGAACAGAAAAATGTTCACTAAATTTGCTATTGACATATCGACTGTGAACTGGCACTGAAGGACTGAAGAAAAAAATTGTTTGCGTCATTTATATAGCATCAGGTTTATTAAACATGTATGTATGTATGTACACTACGGATTTTTACGTAATAAACCAAATGCTATATAAATGTTTTTTTCTTCATCATGTAAAGTTGTCAAAACTGAGATAGTACCGGTTGCCAGTTCACAGTCGATATGCTAGCTTATTTTATGAAAAGAGTTCTGTCGAAAAGATACATTAGAAACATAATGCAAAAAAATCATTTCAAAAGTTCTAGTAGATATTTCTTTGTGATTTTTTAGGGATGCACTTAGTGATTTGCCCAAAAAACACAACAAAGTTGAACAACTTTTGAGCTATCAATTT